TAATCATAGGTCTTTTTTCTTTGATAAAATTATTTTGAAACCTATATTTTAAAGGAGAAAGTGCTGCATCCCATAAAGAATCAAGAATTTCTCATAATTTGAGTATAGTTCTATATTAGGACTCTCCAGAAAAACAGAACCAATAAGGGATCTGGGGGAAGGGGTGTTGGGGGGGGTGTGGATGGATGGATGGATAGATAGAAAGATGGTAGGTAGGTAGGTAGGTAGGTAGGCAGGCAGGCAGGCTGGCTGAGGAGTCCCAAGTTCTGTAGTTGGCAAGCTGGAGACCCAGGAGAGGTGAAATGTAATTCCAGCCTGAGTCCAGCCTGAAAAACAGGAGCTGTTTTAGTCCAAGTGAGAAGGCTAGAAAAGACCAATGTTCCATTTCAAGGTAGACAGAAAGGGTTCCATTCCCTTTTATTTGGCCTTTATGGTTTTTTTAAGTTTTTATTTAAGTTCCAGTTAGTTAACATACAGTGTAATATTAGTTTCAGGTGTACAGTATAGTGATTCAGCACTTCCATACAACACCCAGTGCTCATCACAAGTGCCCTCCTTAATCCCCATCTCCTATTTCACCCATCCCCCCACTCACCTCCCTTTTGGTAACCATCAGTTTTCTTCTCTGTAGTTAAGAGTCTATTTCCTGGTTTGCCTCTCTCTCTTTTTTCCCTTTGCTTGTTTGTTTTCTTTATTAAGTTCAGCATATGCGTGAAATCATGTGGTATTTGTCTTTCTCTGACTGACTCATTTTGCTTAGCATAATACTCTCTAGCTCTATCCATGTCATTGCAAATGGCAAGATTTCATTCTTATTTATGGCTGAGTAATGTTCCATTTTATATATATACCTCATCTTCTTTATCCATCAGTCGATGGATACTTGGGCTGTTTCCATAATTTGGCTATTGTAGATAGTGATGCTATAAACATCAGGGTGCAGGTATCCCTTTGAATTGGTATTTTTGTATTATTTGGTTAAATACGTAGTAGTGGAATTGCTGGATCATAGAGTAGTTCTATTTTTAACTTTTTGAAGAACCTCCTTACTGTTTTCCAGAGTAACCACACCAATTTGCATTCCCACCAACAGTGCAAGAGGATTCCCCTTTCTCTACACCCTGGCCAACACCTGTTGTTTCTTGTGTTGCTGATTTTAGCTCTTCTGATAGGTGTGAGGTAATAATGTTCTATTCAGTTCTTCAGTTGATAGGTTGAGGTCCACCCACATTAGGGAGGACAGTCTGCTTATTTTACCTATTCACATGTTAATTTCATCCAGAAATACCCTCACAGTCACACCCAGAATAACGTTTGACCAAGTGTCTGAGCACCTTGTGGCCCAATCAAGTTGACACACTAAATTAATCATTACAAATGCACGAAAGTGTGAAAATAGAATTGAAATTATTGGAGTTTAAATGTAGAATCGTATGAGAAAAAAACCAAGAAATATAATGAGAATGAGGATATAGTGAAAAATCTGTGAGCCATAGACTTTAAAGACCACATTGAAGTTAGATAATAGTGACTTCTCATAGATCCTGGAACAAGAATTACGGGCATTATATTTGAGCAAGATCGTTCTAGCACTTAAATCTAGATTGCATCACAATTTGGAGACACTGAAATTTTGAAACCAGTAAGCAAATAGCCCCACAAGCATAGATTAGGATGAATTCTATGGAAGTAGAAAGCAAATTCAACACCATGAGCCAAGTAAAACATAACAAAATCAACAGAGGTTAGTGAAAAGGTAGTAGAGTGAGGAAAATAAAATGAGTTTGAATGTTAGTGTCATTGAGAGCAATGAGAAATTAAGAGGAGATTTATTTGCAGGATCAAAGATTAGGCATTTAAGATGACATGTAAAATTTAAAGGACGTTTATGCTCAAATTCCAAATAAAGTGTCATAAAATACTTCAAAATGCAGACATGGTGGGTGTTAATATGCAAGGGGAACTTTTGTCTTTTAAACAGTTACAGGGGCGCCTGGGTGGCTCAGTCATTAAGTGTCTGCCTTCGGCTCAGGTCATGATCCCAGGGTCCTGGGATCGAGCCCTGCATTGGGTTCCCTGCTCAGCAGGAAGCTGCCCCCTCCCTCTCCCACTCCCCCTGCTTGTGTTCCTTCTCTGCTGTTCTTTTTTTGTCAAATAAATAAATAAACAATCTTTAAACAGTTGTTACAAGTATATTATTTTTTGTTTACTTTGAAAAACAAATAATATTTATCAGAAAAAAACATGCTGTACCTGAGTTGCTATTGTGGTAAAATAATAATGTCTTGTAGCACGATATTGTACTAAGTTGCTGTTACCATACCTTTATCCATATAGTTAAGAAAATTAAGTTTGTATACTCATTCTACTAGTGATTGGTCTTAAGGTATTTTTGTGTTCCATTATTTCTTGCATATTTTATATCACAATTAAATATATACTACTTTCATTATAATAAAAAATTGTGAAATGCACCATTATTTCATGTTATTCTAATTACTACCAGAAATATTTAGCTTGCAACAGTGAGTAGTGAAGTAATTACAACTTCCATTTAGTTTCAAAGATTAAGAGATCGAGGGATTTCTTAGAATATAGAATCAATTTTTTTAACACTGAAGTTATTAGGAATATATTGTGATTTTGGTTTCCTGGCTCTAGAATTGCTTTCACGTTAAAGGCACCAATTCTGAGCTCAGCATTCTGTGGAACTGGACTGACAAGCTGCTAACCTGTTTTTTAAGCTTTTTAAGCTTTATATTGTTAAAGAGGAGTTTCTTTATTCTTTTCTGGTGGGCATGAACAAAAATTTCTAGAAGGAAGCCAATGCGTAATACACAGTTCTACTGTGTGATCACTGTAATTAGCTGATAAGATTGCTCACCTCACTTTATAGAGAAGAGGTCAGAGTTTGGGAGAGGTAATTTTGGAGCATGAGGCACATCAAGGCAGATAGGTTTGAAGTAGCACAGTGATCATGTTCAGTCCTGAGGAGTCACTTCTTGAAAGTCCGGGGCGTATTAGGAGAATTCTAGCAGCGCCCGTGCTAGTAAGGGCACAAAGTTAGGTGAAGGAAATTAGTGCATCGGGTAGATGAAAACTAAAGTTAAATTTTCCTGCTAATTATGACCACATACCATGACATAAATTCCAGATCCCTACGGTAGTCATCTACTGGTTTTCAAAGGTTTTTTAAAATGTCCAAGTGTCCTATGCCTTTATTTTCCATTTTCTATTTTTTCCTGGTTAATGTGTTTGTAAACTGACATTTTGAAGAGGATTATAAATACAGATGATTTACTGATATGTAGTATGGATAAGTGATTAATTGGGAAAACTTTTGGGATATATATACTTCTCCTGATCCTTTCTTAACATAGGTGAAATTACTTCCGTCTGTATAGTACTTTGTCAAATCCTCACCATCCTTTGTGAAAGAAAACAAAAGTTACTTGACAGGGCTGCCTCCTGGTTCCCTGTACATTCCCTATATACGTCCACACATTTAAATGGATACTGAGCCCATATTCTTCTCCACACTGATTGTGTGTATTTTATACTGTGATAGAAATGTTTTTATTTGAAAAAAAACATGTACACTTATTTCCCTGACACTCTGCCAGTTTTTAGAAAAATATGTTCAAATTTTTCCTGCTGAAAACTTTTGGTTTCTGAGTAGATACATCATCTTTTTAAAACCTTTCCCCCAAGATTTCTTTTTAAATGGCTCACAGTTAAATTTAAATTTCTATATTTAGGTAGAATTATGTTTATATACCAACCACCAGTATCCAGGAAATTCAGTGGTAAGGCTGACACATAGGGAGTTTATAGTCTATTTTGTAGTCTGTGTATTTAGACAAGGTTTGAAGCTTACTTAGCAAAATCGCTTAAACATTCGAGCAGAATTTCTCTAGTACAAATGCACTATTTGATTCCTTATAATTGTTAAGATAACAGTGTGTCACTTTTTAAAGATTAGTTCTCAGGAATATGTTAGATTTATTCCCTTCAAAGAAGAATGCATTTAGGAACAGCCTTTATATGTAAATATTTTTATAATATTGGATAGAGATGGTGTGGTGCAATCACCGTGGTTTGATCAAATTTGGAAGAAGTTACAGGCACATATTTGTAGTGTTTTCTCCAGCATCTTTATTTTTTTCATCTGGACATATTTTATGTTCCTTCCAACTAATCAAAATAAGAAACCGATTTTGCCTTTGCCAAAAAATAGAACTATCATTTTTCACATTCTTTTATTTTCCAGGTCATTTTCAAGTAAGATTGTGTTTCTAGGACTTCTGAACTCCAGAAAACTCTCAACTTTGTAGATATAAGGGCCCAGATGAACATTTCAGGGGGAATCTAACTTTTCATGCAGTATGTTTTGTGTTGTACATTCCAGATACAGTTAACTTTTTGTATGCATGTGATTAGTGTGGAAAGAAATTAATGCAGTCCAGTATTATGATTTATGGACTGAATCCTTTGCCCACTGAAGACTTGCCAAAACTAAAACTATTTTTTTTCCTTTGGATATTAGAAACAGCTACTGTTTTTGTTGATCTTTTAAAGTTCTGAATGGGCCTATTTCAAATCATACCAGCATGGGAGCTCAGATTAATAATATACTTATTCAACTAGTGATACTGAGTGAAACCATTGCTCACATGGATATGAGGATAAAATTTCATAAAATTATTTTCAGGTGCATTAATGCATTTCTGGAAGCTGCACATGATTTTTCTTTTGCATGAAAGAAATCAGGGATTTCTGTTTATTGTATCAGTTACAGGTGGGCTTATAAGTTAATTTAATGGCATTTTTTTACTTTAAAACATAAGACATTTCACTTTCAAAAGCAGTAATGTGATTGCCAGATTATTCCCAAAGGTTTTTAACTCTTAGAATATTTATCTCTCTTGAGACATCATGACTGTAGTATACTTAATTTAGATTATGGAGAGAAAAAAATCCTAAGTTCTCTTTGTTATTAGTTACAGCAAGCCGCTGAAGTTTCTCAGCTTCGGGGAGCAAGGGTAATCTCTGCTGAAGACCTTCTGTTTTTGATGCGCAAAGATAAGGTAATATAAAACAATTTCCTTGTATTAACATGCCATGTTTGGTGCTTAATTACACTTATATAAGGAACTGTATCATTCTTATACAGCTTTCAAATTGGAATACAACTATTAAACTGATGTTTTAGTCTTCATAGTTTGCACAAAATGGTTTATTGTAAGAGAATCGAATGTTCACCAAGGGCCAGGGCACTGATGTAGATCTAGGCTGCCAACTAATTCTCACTTATCCTTCCCTATCTCTTTCAACATTTTCATTGCTACATAATATTCACTACATATCAATTATGTGCTTTGTTGGAATACGTGAGATAGAACTGAGTGGCATATTTATTTTTCTTCTAATTTTACACAAGATTACAGGCTTTCCCAGGGTTTGTTTCAAGGTTTATTCTGTGACACTGATTTATAGGAAAACAATCAATCAGTCAAGATGAGTCTTTCAGTGGCATCAATATAATAATGTCTAGAGTTTTTATGGTAAAGGTCTACCTTTCTTACTCTTTGAACTCTGGTAATTAAAATATTTAAGCTGGGCGCCTGGGTGGCTCAGCTGGTTAAGCGACTGCCTTCAGCTCAGGTCATGATCCTGGAGTCCCGGGATCGAGTCCCACATCGGGCTCCCTGCTCAGCGGGGAGTCTGCTTCTCCCTGACCTTCTTCCCTCTTGTGCTCTCTATCTCTCACTCTCTCTCTCAAATAAATAAATAAAATCTTTAAAAAAAAAATAAATAAAATAAAATATTTAAGCTGATATTTACCTGTCTAGTTTTGTCCTATCTCCCACGAGTAGCTAGTTGAAAATATTTTATAATGTTTTACATGTTTTTAATAATGGTGTCATCTAAAAGTTACATGTACAAAAACTAGTGGAGTAACTACCATGTGTTATGTATGGTAGCTGTGAGCAGGCAGTGTTTTGTTTCTGATGGTCCATCTTTCACTTCTTCATTGTTTTTCCCTGGCCTTTTCATTACACGTACCCATTCCTCTTCCACCATTTTTGTATGCTCGTGGCTGTTTTGTTTTTTTTTTGTAGTTTTTTGTTTGTTTGTTTGTTTTTTATCAGAAGACATTCCATTAACCTTTTGGAGAACCTTGTTAACACCCTTTCCAATATCCAGTTACTTTATATCTGTGAAATCTTTTAATTCTGTTTGACTGAAGGTTGACTAAACTTAGATCAAGTATTTTCTGTCTTCCTCATAGAGTAAGATTCAGAAACCTACAAACCACACCATGACTCGTCTACCATAAAATTGTATAAATTCTTATTAACAATTTGATCTTATGAGGAATATAAAGGAAGAGAAAAGAAATGTCTTCACTATCAAGAAGCTATAATCTGGTTTAGGAAATCTGTATGATTTAGTTAAAGAAGCAGGATTTCCAAAGTTGTGTGATTAGATGAGAGGCAGAAGGATTTGTTGAAGTGGAGGTGTCTGAGACTCATGCAGTTGTATGTAGAATGGACCAAATGCAAAGGAACTAGCCAAGATGCTGGTTCAGTAATCAAGGCAAAATGTGGTGAGCATGATGGCTCTGGAAGTGGATAGGAAAGCAGATTTCAGGGAGACAGTAAAGAGTACAAATATGCAGGATTTGGTGACTTCGTTATACTTAGAGGACGAAGAAGTAATAGACACTGGGCAGCAGTGCTGCTGTGAGGAAGGAGCTTGCCTTTGACAGAAATGAGGACCTGGAGCCCAGGTCCTTCATGAAGGCCCCTGGAGAACAGTGGAGTTAGTATTAGTACTTTACAGAATATGTCCAATCAACTTTTCTTTTTCATGACAGAGGTAAAGAGGCTAGCACAAAAAACAGTCCACATTGACACTTTCTCCTGCCTTTTGGGAAAATCAACATTTAAAATCATGGTGATACTATAGGAACATACACTAACTGACAGGACCCCTCTAGTGCCCAGAAGGACTCTTAACCAGAATCCTTTCATCAACTGAGAACATAGCTGTAATATAGCTGCCAGAGTTCTCATCTTTCTTTTCAAAATAATAATTATATTTATCTGCTGACATGTTCCAAACAAAAGTAAAGTAGTTTACGTAGGTTTAACATAAGACAAAATAAAATCTAAAGTATTGAATACAATCAGAGCAAAGAGAAAAGAAGGGGAGCAGAAGAACTATTTATAGGTGTATGTTTTTTCTCTTCCTAATTCCATTTTATATTCAAGCAGTATTTATTTACTGTCTACTATCTTGCTCTAGGTACCTTCACTCATTCTTTCGTTTATTCATCCCAGTGGTCCTATATGGTAGGCACTTTACTTAAAATTGTAAATAAAGAAACTGAAGTCCAAAGCTTATGTTCTACTTCTGGCCCTACTAACCTCTAGTTGTAACCTGTTTCCCTGTATATAAAAAGGAGATGATTATATTTGTCTGTATTTCAAGGTTGATCAAATAAGATGCATGTAAAAGAACTTTGTAAAATGCACTATATTTCAGCCATAATTTGGAATCTTAAACCTGAAGGTCAGGAACCAAGCACACAACATATTACAAAGTATTATCAGTTACCTTTTAAGTTAAGCAGTATTATGGTCTTCTAATAAACTTAAAGAAAACCATCAAGACCCAACTATCATTCATCAGCTTTGAGTCTCATTAAAACATATTTCTCAGATTATAGAATGTTTTTCAGAAATATAAAACATAAACCAACTCTTCTAAATAAAAAAAAAAATTTTTTTCCAGAGAATAAAAAACAATGAAAAGGAGAGTTGCTTGGCTTTTTAAAGCAGTTGTTACAAAATCCTTGTCTAGATGTTTATAAATCACTATAACTATCTTAGTATGGAGAGTGTGATAGAGTGTGATACTTGTGACAATCTTCAGGAAGAATTTAAGACTTTTTATAAGACCAAAAAAAAAAGCAATGACTAATTCTGGAGCATTTTGGATACTTACAAATGAAAAGTGCTTTTTAAAATGCTTGTATTTTATCTTTTATGTTTAATATGATGACATCTTTTATTCCATAGTATTAAGCTAAGAATTGCTGTATTTTTCACAGTGATCCTAGAATACAATTTTATTAAATTTAGTTATCATAGTATTCTATAATCAGTAAAGTGAATGTAATGTATAAGATTTTTTATTTCATATTTTTAACAGAAAAAGCTTAGAAGACTGCTAAAGTACATGTTTTTCCGAGACTACAAATCCAAGATTGTCAAGGGCATAGATGAGGATGACCTTCTGGAAGGTAACCTAAAAAAAAACAAAACACTAAACTGAGAGCAATGTGACGTGTGTGCTGGGTGACACACTGATACAATGTCATTGTGGACTTTCCCATCACAGAAGAATATGTGTGCTTCTGTTAAATAATGTAGCTTAGAAATTATCCAAATATCTATTTAGTTGGCAGTTAAATCTTATGATTTTCTATTTACATGGCTTCATAGTAATCTATGTCAGTTCTTTTAATCATATGGCCTGTTTTATATCAGAATGTCGTGAAACTGAGAAAATCATGTGGATTCAAAACATAATTAATCTTAGCAAGCATAATTTTTCTGTTGTGGGTGTAGGAAGCCAGAACTGTTATTATATATCTCTGAAATTGACATATGGGTTTTTCTTAATTTATTATAGAAAGTACCTGATATGCAGTGTTATGTAAAGTCACCTCATTTTGGTGTGTTATTACTGTGCTGTTTGAAATCTTACCAACAGCCCAACACAGAGTAGAAAATTTTCTTTATCTGATTTTCCAACTCAATTCCCCATTTCAGAATATTTAGAAAAAAATATTAATGTTGCGGAATCAAGCAGTGCTAAGGTGAAAGCAGAAACATACTAAACAATATGTCAAAATAAATATGTGTGTTTTAGAATAACTCATATATTTTGCATTGAATATAGTCACTGCATAGTGGGTATCCATTGCTAATAAAGACATTGATAAATAAACAAACTCTACTGGATTAAGAACTTCAGAAAACTGCTAAAAACCAACTGAAGAGTTAACAAATTTTAGAAGTAAATTTTGATTTACCTTCAGCAAATAAGCAAGTTTAATAACTATGCAAAAAAGAGAGAAAGAAAGAAAGAAAGAAAAAAAGAAAGAAAGAATATTCATATCAAATGTTTAATCAGTGTTGCCTATTTAATATTCCTGCAATTCTCATAGAATTTAATTTCTGAAAAATAGTTCTCCAGATGAATTTAAATGCTTCCTTTTTTGAAGAGCATAAAGAATACAGACCTGAATTCCAGTCAGTCCCAATTGTCTGCTTTCTCTCTATGTGAACTTGAGGATCAGTTTTCTCATAAGTCAAAAATTATACCACTCATGGTGGAGTTCTTATGAGAGTTTAACATAATGTATGAAAATAACCTGATACATCCCTGACATTGAATAAATGATAGCTTTTAATACCAAACTCAGAACACCAAGAAGCTCAGAGTGGTGAGACTAGCATTCACTTGTACTAACACTATCCTATCAGTCTGATACCTTCTCCTTATTTATTTCAGATCTCATCTCTTTATTTTCATTTAAACTATCTAGTTTTTTGTGTCATATAAAGTTTTAAAATAGTTGATATAACTTACACGATAAAGTAACCAGTAAAATATATCTAATACTGAGGTGGGACTTTGGAGAATGGCCATATGAGGATAGACTCTTTCCCTAGTGAAACACATTTTACTGGTGAAAACTTTAAAAAGTAATGGCTTAAAGTCTCTAGAAGTTCTCCTAAGCATATATAGCAAATGGAAAAGTACATATTTAAGAAAATCCAAATCTCATTAATAACAGTGAGAGTCTGTTTGATTTGAACCATGACCTGCTCCCATTATCCTTCTTCCCTCCTGGCACCTCAGCTCAGTATGGTAGAAGCTTTACTCTGGGCAAGTGTTTCCAAGAACATTGGACAGCTGATTCTTCAGCTACCAGTCCAGGGCAACAGTTTCCCCCCAGGAGGTTGGCATCTCTCATCTCCTCTGGCTCCATGTTGCAGAAGCTGTATTCCATGCAGGCACAGTTAAAAGGACTGGAGCTTCCACTCATTCTCTGTTCACAGGAAAGCTCTACCCCAGACATGGTAGGCTAAGAATACTGGGCCCCTGATTGCCCCACCCTAGCTTGCTCATGGGGAATAAAGCTCCACACCAGAAGGGACAAGCCTAGAAGACAGTGGGCTACCATCCCTGCCTGGCTATCCACTCACAGATCTAGGAGTCTTTCTAGGAAAAGCCAATTGCTATTTCTACCCCCAGCTCCAGTACAGTGATGCAGAGGTTTAGCCCAGAGGGAGAGGCAGACTTTGATAACAGAGAGTTCTGCAGCTTTCTCTGTGAGAACTGACTTTTTAGAACAGAGCATGTGGAAGTTCATACCTAAGGGTGGTATAGAAAACTGTGGAAATCCTAATGGTTAGTAATTAAGAGGAAGCTGGAAGCTATGTGATATGAGTAACAACAAACAAAATAGTGTGTCAGCTAAAGGTTTAACAGAGGAAACAAATGGAAGAGACAGCTAAGAAGAGTCTTTCTGGGGTCAGAGCAAAATGTAAAGGCTGGCAATATCTGGACTCTGCAAAGGGGCCTGACATTATTCAGACCAATCTGTGGAAAATGCCAAAGAGTATTATCAAAAACAGTAGAGCAATCAGCCAGAAGTCAGTGGAAGCTAAAAGCTGTATGTGATACCCATAGAATTAAACCAGCCAGAAACTTAGTAGAGATCAGGGAAAGTGACAGCCAAAGAGAACCTAACACCACAGTCATCCTTGGTGAATGAGGAGACCAGTTGCATGCTCACAGTTATGCTGTCTGGGGAACAACTTCTGAGGCCACATGCTGTGAGAAAAAAAGATTTTATTGAACCAGTCAAGCCAAATCACTAAACAGACAACCAAACAAGCAAACAATGACAACAGGCCCCAGGAAGAAGAGGGAATTATTATTTAGAGTTGCTATAAGATAAAATGTCCATTTTCAACAACAATAACCACTAAATACTAGACAAGCAAAAAAACAGGAATGTGTAATCCATAAAAAGGGAACAAAAAAGCAGACAACACAAACTGCCTTTGAGGGAGCCCAGATGTTGGACTTAGCACACAAAAACTTCAAAGTAGCTATCATAAATGTGTTCAAAGAACAAAGGAAACCATTTTTAAGGAAGAAAAGGAAGGTGTGATTAAAGTGTCTCACAAAATAGAAAATATCAATTAAGAGAAATTAAAGCATACACTTGTCATGATGAGCACTGGGTGTTGTGTGGAAGTGTTGAATCACTATATTGTATACCTGAAACTAATATTATACTGAATGTTAACTAACTGAAATTTAAATAAAAATTTTAAAAATGATTAAAGATACAAATCATAAAAAAGAAACAAATGCAAATTCTGGAGTTGGAAAGCACAATGACTAAGATGAAAAATTCAGTAAAGAGGCTCAAAAGTAGCTTTAAAGTGAGAAGAAGGAATCATTGAACTTGAAGACAGACTGTTAATGATTATGAGAAAAAGAGAAAAAAGAATGAAGAAAAATTAACAGAGAAATTTGAGGCATCCTGATATGAGCCAACATGTACATAATGGGACTACCAGAAGGAAAGAAAAAGATAAAAAGGAGCAGAAAAATCTTCAAACAGATCGTGATTGAAACTTCTCAACTTTGATGACAATCATTACATCCAAGCAGCTTAAGGGGCTCCAATTAGGATAATCACATAGAGATCCACATTCACACATATTCTTCTAGAAATGTAGGAAGACTAAGACAAAGAGAAACTCACAAAAGCTGCAAGGGAAAAACACCTCATCACATACAATTGAACTCCACAAGTATTAACAGCTGATTTCTCATTAACAATATAGATCAAAAAAAAAAAAAAGAAGAAAACCACCAATATAGGTCAGATAGCAGTGAAACAACATATTCAAATTGCTGAAAGAAAAAACTGTTAACCAAGAAACATACCCAGCAAAACTATCTTTTAAAAGTGAAGGCAAAATAAAATATATTCCCAGATAAACAAAAACTGGGTGAATTTCTTGGTAGCAAATCCACATAAAAAAATATGAAAGTAAGTTCTTCAGGCTCAAGCAAGTGGCACCAGACAATAATTTGATTCCACACACACACACACACACACACACACACACACAAAAGTACCTGTAAAGGTAATTATGTAAGTAAAACATAAGAGACAATATAATTGCACATGTTTTCCTTTCTTCCTCTTAACTGATTTAAAAAAACGATGTATGAAACAATATATATAATTGTAATGTCAAGTCTATAACATGTAGATATATATATACATGTAGACATATATTACAATATATTTGACAGTAACAACATAAGTGAGGCGAGTGGTAACAAAGCTGTATTGGAGGAAGGAGTGACACAAGATGGCTGCTCAAATTACAGAAAGAAATGAAAAGAAGCAGAAATGGTAAATACAATGGTTAATATAACCAATTCTATAAATACCTACTTTATATCCTATGAAAACACAAGCTACTGAAACTGAATCTAGAAGAAACAGAAAATGTGAGTACACCTATGGCAAGTAAATTATTTGAATTAGTACTTTTAAGACTTCCCCAAGGAAAAACCCAGGCCTAATGACCTTATGATGAATTCTACCAAATGTTTAAAGAACAATTAACACCAGTCCTTTCCCAGCTCATTCTACAAGGCCAGTATTATTCTGATATGAAAACCAGACAAAGATATCACACAAAATGAAAACTAAAGACTAATACATTGCTTTTCTCTATTCCCGATGCTGTACTTTCCATCTCCGTGACTTATTTGTTTTGTAACTGGAAGTTTCTACCTCTTAAACTCCTTTATTTATTTTACCCATTTCCTCACCCCATCTCCCCCTTGGCCACCACCTATTTGTTCTCTGTATTTAAGAGTCTATTTTTTCATTTGTCTTTTTTTCTTTGTTTCTTAAATTCTACATATGAGTAAAATCATGAGATTGTCTTTCTCTTTCTGAAGTACTTCAGTTAGCATTATACCCTCTGGGTCTATACATTTTGTTACAAATTGCAAGATCTCATTTTTTGTGTGTATGGCTGAGTAATATTACAGTGTGTGTGTGTGTGTGTGTGTGTGTGTGTGTGTGTGTGTGTGTTTACATCTTCTTTATCCAGTCATCTATTGATGGACACTTTGGTTGTTTCCGTAGTTTAATTATTATAAATAATGCTGCAATAAACATACAGGTGTATTTATCTTTTTGAGTTAGTGTTTTTATTTTCTTTGGGTAAATACCTAGTAGTAGAACTACTGGACCATATGGTAATTCTACTTTCAGTTTTTTGAAGAACCACCATACCATCTTCCCTAGTGGCTATATCAATTTACATTCCTACCAACAATGCATGAGGGTTTTTTTTCCTCCACATCTCACCAACACTGTTATTTCTTGCCCTTTTTTAATCTAGCCATTCTCACAGGTATAACGTGATCTCTCATTGTGGTTTTGATTTGCATTTTCCTGATTTGTGATGTTGAGCATCTTTTCACATGTCTGTTGGCCACCTGTATATCTTCTTTGAAAAATATCTATTCAGCTCCTTTGCCCATTTTTGATCAGATTATTTGGGGTTTTTTGTTATTGAATTGTATAAGTTCTTTGTATATTTTGGATATTAACCCCTTAGCAGATACATCATTTACAAATATCTTTTCCCATTCAGTAGGATGCTGTAATGTCTTTTTAAATATAGATGTGAAAATCCCTAACAGAATACTTAGTAAACCAAATCCAGCAACATTTAAAAAGGATTATACACCATGACCAAATGGGATTTATCCCAGGAATGGCAGATTGGTTTAAATTTAGAAAACAATTCATGTAATACATCATATGGTGGAATAAAGGTGATAAATCACATGATCATCTCAATAAATGTAGAAAAATCATTAGAAAAAAATTCAAAAGTCTTTCATGAGAGGAACACTCAAAAAACTGAGAAGGGAACTTTCTCAACTTGATTAAGTTCATTGCTATGAATGGAATGTTTGTGTCCTTCCAGAATTGATTGGTATGTTGCATCCCAATCCTCAATGTGATGGTATTTTGAGGTAGAGCCTTTGGAAAGAATTAAGCCATGAGGGAGGGGCCTTCATGAATGGGATTAGTGCCCTTCTAAAGAAGAGACACAGAAGAGTTTGTTTTAGCTCTCGGCCATGTGAGGATAGGAGAAGACAGTCCATCTGCAAACCAGGAAGCAGTCATCAGATACCAGGTCTGCCAGCACCTGATCTTGGACTTTCCAGCCTGTAGAACTGTGAGAAATAAATATTTGTTTTTAAGCCATCCAGTCTGTGATATATTTATATATTTATTATGGTCTATGCTATAAACAGACCAAGACAGATATCTATGGAGAACCCACAGCTAACATCATACTTAGTGGTGAAAGATTGGATGCTTTCCCCTAAGATATTTGGGTTTTCTTTATTTGGTATCTGCCCATGTATTTTATCACTTTAAAAAATAATCTAGTTCTTGGGCACCTGGGTGGCTCAGTTGGTTAAGCGACTGCCTTCGGCTAAGGTCATGATCCTGGAGTCCCGGGATCGAGTCCCTCACGGGCTCCCTGCTCAGCAGGAGTCTCCTTCTCCCTCTGACCCAACCCTCCTCATGCTCTCTCTCTCTCTCTCTCTCCTTCTTTCTCTCAAATAAATCATTAAAGAAAATAAAAAAATAAAAAATAATCTAGTTTTTTTCTCCCTAATCCACACTGATATTAATGCATTAAACTATTAATTACCTATTGCAATATTAAACACCTTCTTGACCTTTTGCAATAACTTTTTAAAAGTTATGTTTTGCTTTTAGATAAGCATGATAGTTTTGCCTCTTAAGAGAAAAAGTGTGAGATCTTGTCCCTTTACTCTTCAAATATATTGCCACAATAAAATACATAATATTCTCTCCTTTTAATATCACATCTCAATCTTGATGCTATTTATTTATGTCTTTGTTTTTATTTATTAATTAGCCTTGCTATAGCAGGATTCTTTTTCTAAATCTGAAAGGACTCTTTTTTTTTTTTGTAAGGAATTTTAACAGTCCATTCAAACTTACTATGTTAATTGACAATTTGTTTTTTTATCCTCTCAACCTTACTCATGACATGAATAAATGATTTAATTCTGCATGGCTTATGCTTTTGTTTTGGATGCAAAGATTCTTCCTTTAAAGATTATTTCGAGAGAACTCCAATTCTGAATTTCATATGCAGTATTCAATACATGTAGTGATTGGTGTTGATGTAAACCTATTAAGCACATTTTTTTCTTTCCCTTATGTTCACAAAGACAAACTGAGTGGCAGCAATAATGCAAACAAAAGACAGAAAATCGCCCAAGACTTTCTCAACTCTATTGACCAAACAGGGGAACTCCTGGCAATGTTTGAAGATGATGAGATTGATGAAGTTAAACAAGAAAGAATGGAGGTACAGTACACTCTTCCCTTCTTACAGTACTAGAATACCCATTGCAGTGCTTATGCTATTGGGTTCTATTCTTATGTTCTTTAATTGTTACCCGATTTGCCCAGAACAGTGTGTTTGCATGTCTGAAAGTAGCGTGGTTCAGCGGAGTCTCCCTCTAAGGGTGTTGGACTCTGCCTTCAGACAAGACTTTGGAAGACAACTTCAGTGCTCTGTTTCTCTCTTTCCTCCTCTAAATATGAGTAGATTTCCCTAAGCTTCTTGCTAGACCTAACTTTTACTGGTATTATTTTATTCCAAACTTATTTTTTGTTCCAAACCATCCAGTTATCTTTGTGGGCAAAGGCAATATTCCCACTTTCGTGTTGGCATATAGCATGAAGAGCTACCTTTCAGGCTATGAATAGACTCGCTAGCTAAGGTAGTATCCAGGGCAATTACGTGCTTATAGCCCCATAACACAAAGTTAGTCCCGTGTGTTTGGGTTCCCTGGATATGTTTTCACAACACATATGAAAATTGTGCTCCTTCTATTTGCCTAAGCTATCTATTCATAAAATTATTGTTTCCTTAAATACTTATTCAAAAATAAAAATGACTGATTTTATTTGAGTGCCTTCCAAAATACAAAGCATTATTCCTATCACCCTTCTTCTTATACTTTTACATGTAAAAAAAAAAAAAATCTCCATTTTCCCCTTCTCTTTAAATTGGGCAAGAGAAGGAATTCCAAAACTCCAAAAGACCATGCTAATAATCTCTATGCATGCTAAAAATATAATTATTTCATGTTAAATTCTGGAGGAAGTCCAATAGACATACATGCTTAATAAGCTTTAACAACCTTCTTTAAAGAATTAGTATGCTTAGATCATGAACTGTGATCTGAAGGCAGTGTTCTCTTTAGGTATCAATTACCTTAAAAATGTGTGGTTATCTTGGTTTGGGGCAACTGCAAATGGTTTTAGTTCAACTTCGCCATGGGCCAAAATCATGCTCAGTTGTCCAAAGCAGATGATAAACATATATTTCTGATGTCATTTTGGCCTAAACAGGATATGATTGTTTAGTGGAATGGTTTCACTTACAATGCATTATACAGAGAGCAAATATTGTTTATGCTTTTTTAAAAAACATTTTTATATTACACTAATGGGCATTAAGAAAGATTCACTAAGGAAGGACTCTGCGTGAAACATTAATAAAATAGAACAAGTAGCTTCTCAGTTTTGATGGGAAAATCTCTGTCAACCAAGCCCACTGCCTGGAAGGGCATTCCATAATCAAGGAGAAGAGAAGAAATGGAGCATGTTGTTAACACTAAGCTCGTAATAGCAGGCTACTGTAGGCTTGAAAAAATGTTGAGTCAATAAGGTACAAGTTAAAGTCAATAAAGTAACAGGAAAGGCAGAAGAGGAAAAGCGTGGGAACTGACGTAGTTTATCTACCTCTTCCCTGTAGTTATCTATTACATAGTGGTAACCAGGATAATAAAATATCAATAGTTGGTGAAAATGGTTACAACGCAAGTCAGCTTCATCTATGTAATAAAAATCAGATTGGCAGGTCTTTAAGCTTTCTATCATAACTAAAATCTTCTCTAACCAAGATAACAAAGAGCAGTTTTGAGATTCTACTCATCCAAATAACAGAGTTTAACTGAATAAAAAGTGCTGAACTTATAGACATAACTACAGAGAGTAGAAAGTGGAACCGTTAAGAGCATCGGCCTTGCCTGCTTCTAATTTGACAGGTTATAGTTTCAAGCATAAACCACAACTGCAGCAGTCCATATGAAACCACTTTGGACTCACAGACTGCAATCTCTGCTTTTCAAGTGCAGTGGAATAATCAGTCCTGGCATCACTCTGTGATTTCATTTTTCTCTAAGCATCACTTACTGTTGCAGAAATTTTGTTTGCTACCTTCTTCCCAAGAATGTATGAAAATAGTATAGACCTACCAACAAAGCTTATTATTGTTTTGCTTTTCTTTCCTTTTTTTTTCATTTAAACGTACTTTAGAAGAGAAAAAAATTTTATAGACATAAAAACCCACCTGGGATCCTAGCTTTTTCTCAAGACATTGAGTGAGTATACAAAAAAAAAAAAAAAATGAGTTCTTTCCTGTTGTTTTAGGTGATTTCTATGTGTGCCTGGCTTTGTGTTTCGCTCATAATTTACTTCAGCACTATTAAAGATTATATGACTTGAAATATAAAAACTCTGGATTTTTACTTCCATTTCTAATTGCTTGTCCTTCATCATGACAGTTATCTAACTCTTACCCTATTTTAGTTTTCCTCCAACACCAAGTTTTTAACACTTAGGTATATGTATAGTAGAGATCTATGATCCATTGTCTCTGAAGATCCTTACAAATTCTCAAATAAAGATTAAATAATGTTCAGAATTGCTTTCGAGGGGCTAGGAAACAGAAGCAGGGATTTGGTAAGCATAATAATACATTTGAATGCTCACAGCTCCTCTCAGCTCCTCCACTTAACCTCCACCCCAGAATGACACAGGTGTGTTTTACTGTTGATCCTGTTTTTACGTTCTAATCTTTTGAGTGTTAATCAATTAAATGTGGTTGTGTCAACCAAAGGCCAAGAAGGTGGGCACAAAAAACTGCAAATAGCTTTGGGTTTTTTTGTTTTTTAAAGATTTTATTTATTTATTTGGTGGGGGGAGAGCATGAGCAGGGACAGAAGCAGAGGGAGAAGGAGAAGTAGACTCCCCAGTGAGTGCAGAGCCCAAAGCAGGGCTTGATCCCAGGACCCTGAGGCCATGACCCGAGCAGAAGTCAGACACTTAACCTACTGAGCCTCCCAGGCACCCCATCTTTGGGTTTTCTTAATGGAGTGATTGTGGTCACTCACAGAAGAGCCTTGCCTAAGACCCAGCTGCTCTACTGTGAAGGAACCTGAGAAGCTCAAGTTTATCATCAATCAAGTAAAATATCTGGTCTAATAAACTACTAGGTTTGGGAAGGGGATATAAACAATGAATCTTTAAAAAGTTGAGTGAACTCTACCTTCTGACTAATCTTCAAATTGATAAAAGTAAACAAGAAAGCAAAGATTAAAGCCCATCAGAGAGACCAGACTTTAATTAAGGTGCTAAAACCTCAGAGGCCTGACACTGGAATCCAGAAATAAAGCAGAGTAGAATACATAAAATTTAAGATCACTTAAAAATGTTTTTAATTGGCTTAAAATTGAATAACACTCCAGGTGGCCATCTGAATTTAACCTAAAGTGATTGGCCATAGATTTTAAAACACAAAGTTTCTCATAAAATCTGAATGATCAGAGAAATCAGGTTCACCATTCAGTTATGCCCCAAGAATAATGAGGTTATGATCCCTGGGGAGGTTGAAATCCAGTGTTATCCTTTGTGGAGCTAAGTATATTGGAAAACTCACTGAAGAAGCCAGAGAGGTGGGTTGCTATAGACGTTCTCCATCTTCTCCTGGTTTTGCAGTCTGTTCTTTCTACCATTCCCCTTCTCTATCTATTACTATTATTTTTTAATTACAATGGAAAGTGAAATAAAATGCCTATAAGACTAGGAGTTCAAAAATGTCGTAGATAAGATTCATCATAAAAGAAAAAAGGCTAACCCTAGTAAGGTAAATGATATTTACAAATATGAAAAAAATTAAAAACATTAAATTTAAAAATGAAACCCAGAAAAAAGTTTAAAATTTAAGTGTACATGAGATTAAGAAATACAGAATTGATATACTGGAAAGATATAGTTTATGTGCCTATGTACAGATGATATATATAGGAACACATATACTTTTACATACATACTGTTATGCCTGCATGTGTGTATTCTATAAGAATAGAAATATAGTTTTAGTAGATTTTTTTAATGTAAAAGTAAAAGAACAGTCAAAGGTATATCAGACAAACTCAGATGCTAATAGTAGCAATTATTAGTTCAGAGAAAAGATTCCAGGGGAAAAGCTTTAAAAGAGAACAATGTCAGTAATTTTATGTTATTAAGTGATGCTACCTGTGGTGAAGAGAGTAAATACAAAGTGTTAATCATCAATCATCAAATTCCAGAGAATTGAAATATACAAAGTACAAGCTTCCAGTAATTCAGGAAGAGGTCAGAGAAATGCATTTGTTAAGACTGAAACACACTATTTCAGTCATTAACAGATTGACTGTGGGGAAAACTTTTAATCATAAAAATTTAACTTTATCTATAGATGCATATAAAACATTTTATAAATGAGCAGCGTTTTAAAATCTTATCCAGGTAACTCCAAGGACTCCAAGCTGCTCTTTAGGGAAAGTAAGGAGAAGTTTGGTGGTTCTCTAGCCTCTCTCCTCTCCCCACACTTTCCTCAATCAGAAGAACTTCTTTGATTTTACATAAGGGATCTGTATATCATCAGTAAAGAAGGGGTTTCATTATTTTTTTCATGGAAAAATCATTACAGAACATCACAGGAGTCTTTCTGTCTCTCACGGTCAACAGATTTCAAAAATGTACAAATTTATAGAGCACATTACCCTACCAGAGCGAAAAAAGAAAACCTGAAAATAGTAAGAGAAGTTAAACATATAAAACCCTAATCGAAAATTTAAAAAGAAGAAACCAACAACTAATAGGAGCAACTAATGGACCCACAACAGATTAAAAATCACTACCATTGGCTAGTTGGGCAATAACAGCACTGAGAATAGTCCACGTAAAATTTACAAAATTTAGACAAAACTTTATTTAAAACACAGGCAACTTTTTAGCTTTTAAGCCTTTGTTAAATTGGGGAAAATTAAAATAAATGATTCAACTAAAATTAGAAATTTTACATCAAGGGGCGCCTAGGTGGCTCAGTAACTGACTGAGTTAACTTAACACTTAACTAAGTGTCCAACTGTTGATTTCAGCTCAAATCATGATATCAGGGTCATGAGATTGAGCCCCGCATGGGGCTCCATGATGAACGTAGAGTCTGCTTAAGATTTTCTCTCTTCCTCT